GTGCACGTTCCACAATGAAGACCGTTTGTAATAATAATTATATCACGAGTTCGCGATTTGAATAAATTAATATTGCGCTGGCGGTGCCTCGACTACGGGAACAATGCGTTTTGGGTAATTTTTATTATTTTAGTTTTTCTGCAGCATTGATGGCGTTCTGGATTAGTCGGCGCCGGAAGGCGACAGGAACAAACAAAAGTCCCTTTGGTACAATATCGGAACCGAGCAATAATTATTTTCATTACGGAATAGCGCCATTGAATGTTAAACACGTTTTTCGTTGATAGCCAGAGGGAAATCAAGGTACGATGCCAGAGAAAATGCTGGTGAATTTTATTCTCTTTGCAACGAACCTTTGCGATACACCTTTTAACGACTGGCTAATAACGGCGAATAGGATTTTTTCTTTACAAGTATCAATGTTGCAAACAAATTCATACTGCCGAAATATCACACTCTGTGTTGTATCAATTTTTACTAAGATTATTTGTTACACAAGTTCTTCGGTGGGAAATACACTTAATATTCATATCTAGAGAAAAACTCTATGGTAATGTTAGAAAATGTTTTAAACGCTCGACACATTCTCAATTAGTCGAACTATCCCATAACGTTTAGTAAAAAGTGTAAAAATTTATTTTGCCACTCAAATAAAACAATAAGTAATGCATCTTTTTTTTATCAATTGAGCTGTATTATATTAACAAAAAAATCATAGCCTTACAAAATAAAACAATTATTTTTAATTATAATATACGCTCAGTGGTGGATTTTTAACATTTTACTGGACGGGGAGGGGTCCTGAAGAATACAACTTACTTGGAATACGTACCGGACACTTACTACTCTACGCAATAAATAATGTAACAATATAAGTATCTGGTGACGACCCCTCCCGTAAATCCGCCACTGGTAAATAAGATTAACACATTTCCAAATATTTTTTGTGGAATTATAGCTGTTAGTATTTATAATACTAAGTTCGGATTAAAAAATTATTAAGTTGTTTTAACACCTGATATTGACTTTGTTTAGCTATCAATTGTACAAATATATATAGTTTAAAAAACAATGATTTAGTTAAAAAAGCTTTTAGAGTAATGAATAAGTATTAATTATTATAAAAGATAAACGTAAAGTGATATAATTTTTACTACTATGGTAACAAAAAATAACATATAAGCAATACAAAGGATTGTAATGTTCATTTTAATTAAAATTAAACTAACCATTTGAAACGTCATCACGTAAAAGTAATAATAAACATAATAATACAATCGCAGTAATGGCAATACTCAGTCGTGTATTAAAATCGCCTATGACTTGCGCCGCACAACAGAAGTTAACGCTGTACAAACATTTCAAGCGTTGATGTCCCCACTCAATCCTTGATACTAATAAAACTTAAACAAGAATTGCGTTTGGACAATCATAGCTTAAAAACTTTATGGTTATTTTACTGCAAAACAGACCTGTAAAAAATACAACAATTTAATGATATATTTATGAAGTATTAGGTTTTATAAATTGTGTTACATAAATAACAAAAGATTGATAAACGATAGCAAAAAAAAAAATTGTTTTAACGATGGAAATGTCAACGAAAAGAAAAACAGTTAAACAAAATAAAAATATTAAAGATGTAGAGTGGATTTTATTTTTTTGTTCTATCCGAGTGTTGTAATGAATTGCCAATTATTTCAGTTATAGCCTGTCACTTTTTCATCGATCACGTTTGAAAATATTTTACATAGAAGAATGTATAGAAAAAAAAAAGTTATATCAGTTACAAAGAAAACAAATACATTTAATGGAAAAAAATAAACAAGGTACTAATTTAAATTAATCAAGTATTTCGATAACTGTCGCAGTTTACATAAATTAAAACGAAACTTGTTAATTATTATAGTGAAACATTTGATTAATAGTCATTGAACAAATATTTCAAACTTTAATTATCAAGTAGTGACAATCAATTAAAAGTTATTTTGTTTTTAATTAGGAACCGTTTTATAGGACTTATTATTTTTAATAAACGTCACATTAGCGACAAATAAAAACATTTTAATTAATAGTGTCCGTAGAATTTTAGTTTGGACTATTTTAAGTTTTCTTTTTTATGCATCCTAACGTGATAAATATAAAACATTAAATAAGTTGTTGTTGTATTGAAAGCAGAAATACATTTCGTTTGATTGATTTTAAATGAAAGTTCAAGACAAAACATTAAATTAAACTATTCCGAATGAAAAATAACTGGATTCTCGACGTATTATTTTACTTATGCAAATAGATCTAAGAGTTTTTATTCCAGTAATACAATAATAAAAGCATTTATAGGAATAGCAAAAGTATATATGTATTTTAAAGAACATACATGTTGATGTAACAGACATAGAGATTATTGTCTGCAGATTTTGTGGCCCATGACCGTAAAATTGGTTTCAAAATGCCACATCGGTGTAGCTTTTATTATATGACTCTAAATATTAGTCGCACTTCTATAATGCATAACTTATAGATTAATGCATAATTCATTTTCATTTTTTATTCAATTAGTTTAAACATATACATTAATAACAAATCGGATAATACTAAATCCTTCACTGCGCAAACTTATTACACGTGAAATAAATTGAATTTATAACGAATGAAAATCTCTGATTGTTATAATGTAACCAGTATATTTATTTTATTTTATTCAATTTTCCTTTTTTAATTCCAATGCTTTTTAAAAGTTTTATTCATAAATTATAAAATTAAATATATCGAAAGCATAGCAAAGTGTTAGCTAATTAATTTTTTCGATTAAAATGTAATTTTTCATTAATGTTAAATTTAATTTCTAGAATACCAACAGTTTTTTTTAAGTAAAATTGAAAATAGTTGAGAAACTGATAATATATATCAGGAAAAAACTCTAATTAGTATATTAAGATAGATATGTATAGTGTAGAATAATAAAAATTACATGTCAGGGCTGCTACGTTCTAAACAGGTTTCTAAACACTCCTATTGATAATATTGAATTGTAAAACCTTCAAATAATGTATGAGTCTATACGAGTCAGTTTATGACTATAAATTGGACATTGGTCTATTTTAACGATAATAGAAAAAAACATTATTTACACAAGTATAATGCTAAAAGGGATAATATCGTAAAATAGTTTGGATCTATTATCTTATTAGCATATAGAACTTAAGTTTACCAGAGAGTTGCAAAACTTTATTAGAAATCTATAGTAGGATATTTAAATGGATACAACCCGGATAATACCCAAGTAAATAGACAGTATCTTAAGTATCGCATTTCGTGATGTCCAGCAGAATAAAAATAAAAAGTATTTTATAGTAAATTATGATTATTGCAAAGAAATAAATTCTATGAACTAGCTTACCATAATTTAAATAAAAATTGCCTAAAATATTGACTTACAAAAAAAGAGGCGTGTGTAGTCGCGATTTTACCTGAAATTGGCATTTGATAACTAACATCACAAATTTTGCAAAGCCCAAAGTGTATTCGTACCACGAAACGTATACTAAATCAATTTCGCTTATGGAATTTGTGAACTGTTTTAACAAGCGACGAGGGTAGTTAGGACTGGGGTAAGTAACAAAAGAAAGAAGAAAAGAAAAATTCGATGAACACACACATGTTTTGTAGGCAAACAACTAGTCTATTGTTAATAATCGCCAAACATACAAAGTAAAAATCAATAGCGGTTAATTGATTCTTACTAGAAAGGAAGAAAGTCAAGTGGCTTCCGGAGAAACACTGAGCGTCTGCTACATATGAAATAATATACACACAATACAAGTTAAATGTATGAACAAGTTCCGGTTTTATATTTAGCTCTTGTCTGCAGTACTTACAATGTAGTGTGTCTAAAAGACTGTAATGGTAAATATATTTGCTCAAGTGTAATTAAAAAATAAAAATTGTCGACCTTAGTGTTGTATTGTCGGTGTATGCATAGAATGTAGTATACACTTGCAGTAAATTAATTAAATTTCTGTTCGCCTGCAGTAATGGCGGTGAGATGTAAACAAGGTCGTCAATTCAGCGAAACCGGAAGAAGTTGGGTTTTGTCAATAAAATGTACCACTGGAGCATGTACACCAATTTAATCGAGACTAAAACAGTCTTTCTGGTAATTTTCTACAAGAACATACAGCAAACCATACATTGTCGTGAATTTCGTGTTTATAACTACATATTTTAGAATATGATATGAAGACGCCATCGGCTATATACATGGCATTTTATCAGTAACAAAATGCTCAAAGACATTCAGAAGTGATGCTTTACATAATATACAGCGTTCGTATTAAATACAGTAAGAAAACTAATGATTTAACTAAACAAAAAAAAATACATTATACTATTTGTTTACTTCAACAGTACTCTAATCGCGATGAAAATGTATTTTTATTAATTTTTTTTGAGATAGTAAAAATGAAAATATTTGAATCACAGCAACATTCTTATAATTTATTCAATTAGTGTGATAGATGTTTGAGAAATTCATTCTCGAAATTTATGACATGTTATTAATAAAAAAATGTGTTATAGCAAATATCTAACTGTTTCAAACAAGTTACATTAATGTGAAAAAGTTAAACTGCTTGTGCAATGAATTATGATCGTTTGGTGAAATATTTTCAAATTGAGTAAAATACGAATAATCGTTGCACTTGTACGTGCTTTGTTTATTAAGATTTAGTTTGATCGCAGTAATTTGCTTTGGTATTGCAAATTTAGCACAAAGAAACTAAAAACGAACGATTCTACTGTATAACTTAAGTCGGAAAATTTTCATTTACCATTAAAAAATTCGATTCGATTGAATAATTTATAAAGCGAAGACATGATAAATTTTCAATTACACAGCAAAACAATAAATAAAAAAGATATTGTTTAACTTTTATTGCTACAAATAAATTGAAACATAATCATTTCATCGATGAAACTTACAATATATTATAATGATTTTATTGAATAAATAAGAATTATAGGAAAATATATTGGATTAACAAAATGACATTTATTGTTCGTGTTAAATACCAGACATTTGTGTGCACGTTTATTTTCACCGACAGCAATAAAATAGCGATACTATAACGGTTTTTATAGAATAAACAGAAAAATTTACCATGAGAATCAATTTTAATGGTATTGTAAAACGATAGCTTGTAATAATTTATTGTTTTTACGAAATAATAATAATAATAAAACATTAAAATTTATGATATTTCGTTGATGCCAATACCAGTGTAATATTATACATGATAAACATTGATGAGATTGCATTAATAATCATGTGTAATAATTGAGCATAATCTGAAAAAAAAAATGATATCAAGTTTAAAAACGCTCAATAAATATTTGTCTTGTTAACATGCGATTAAAAGGCGCGTTGTGTATGTAAAATAAGAGCACTCGTGTTTTCAAAGAAATGTTACTATCTATGGGGCTGTATAATTAGATGATGTGTAATTTTATTAATTTTCGTTAGTCGGTATTAACAGCTAATAAATTCATTAAACTCTCTTATAAGACAATTATCTCGCAATAAGAGAGTTTTAATTAAATAATTTTTATTTAATTGTAATTTTGTCAGTTCACAAATGTGAATGATCATTTTGACACAATACGGAAATAGTTAATTTTCTACATTTGTTATGGATGTTATATAACATTTATAAGTATCACATTGACATCTAAAAATCGCAACTAATTGAATAATAATTCGAAATTATACGTTTTCTATAACGACCAAAATATTTAGTCTGGATGATAACATGAAATTAGTACGAGAAATTTGTGAAACCGCCTTTCAACAAAAGTACTGAGGACCAAAACTTTTCCCCGTTAAGTGGTGATTTCCGTTTAATAGAGGTCAATTTTAATGTATAAAGAAAAAACCGGAAGCAGAGAATTTTTCCGTTTAAAAGAGGTTTCCGTCTGATAGAGGAGGGTCCGTCGAATGGAAGTTTCACTGTATTAATAATGGCGAGAGAAATTCTGAATATTAGTCCGTGAAATATCTCATATTAATCGGAAAGTAGAAATATTTTCTAATGTGGAAGTACTTGTAACTACGGCGGGTATCTAAAGGGGCGACACCGAACGTTAACGTTATTCAGCGTCTTTACCTGCTACGGATAACAAATGAATGTCGGCTCACCCAACGATTTAACTGGGGATTTACTGCGAGCATTTGAAAAATGTCTGATTCCGACGGTTCATTCAACACGAGCCGTAGCAACTCTTTTTTCCTCAGCCTTTATGTATGTCACCTCAAGCGCTGTCTGCGTACAACGCCCTCGTTTGAGTCATGAATGCGCGTCGTTTGTGCTGGTACTAACGCCTTTAGATGTCAAAGGAAACAAAAAGAAGAAAAATGGTGTGTTCGTTCCTAAAACTGGTAACTGGTTAGAGCTCAGACAGAAGTGATATCCATATTCAGATAAGTAATCTTTTGAAACGTTTCCAAGCTTCAACCCAAACTGTGTGCTGGTCGTACCATCGGCTATTAACGCCTCTGGTTAATGTTACACTTTACACGTTAATAAAATCTTTGTAAATTATACTTCCATTGAATACTTAGAATACAATATATTCGTAAACATTTTAACGGTTAAGTTATAACTTAACGACATTTTTCAAAAAATGTAATTATCCCTAATTGAGATAAATAAATGTTAATACCGTATCATAATTTAAAAACTTTTTCTCATTATCCCTACAACGTTTAAAGTTTCTAATCGGAGTGCAGCAACACTTTTTCTACGATTATAATTATTAGGGTATCGTTTAAAGTTATAATGTTATTCACTTGGCATCTAGAAGTATAACAAATCATACACTGTTGTATTATAGTTCAAATCGGAAAAGTTGTGTAGCTAGTAAATTCAGTCTGGAAAGTTAAGACATTAGCTTAAAAGATATCTCGATCAGTTTTGAATCAAAGTATTATGTCTTTATTAAAACAACAATATTAACATTGAAGTGTTAGATTATATTTAGTTGTACAGATATTTTCAAAATAACGAAAATCCGCTAGTATTTTTTTTTAAGTTTCATTGTAAATATATATATAAAAAAAAATCGTATTGCGTTAAAACATATACTATAGTATATGTACTTGACTGATATATCAGTCAAGTATACTTATACTGACTAGTAAAATTACTCCACTAATTTACTCTCGGTACATGCAAAACACACTACTTATGTAAATATAAAATGCATCTAATGACATGTACTCAACAGATAAATACTAAATTTTGATAATTATTAGAAGCAATAATCAAATGGTTTTGTCTGTACTCGGAGAAAAAAAATAAATTTATTGAATAAAAAAAATACAGGTGGTATAAATTAACAAAAAAATGTAATTTTAAACTTCTCCCTTGATTATGCCTTTGTTAATAAGTAGCACACATTTTGTCTACATGGTTTCTATAGTTATATTTTAATTTATTTTCTTTAGTAAACACTAACTTCTATGATCGTATGCTTCTTTTAGTATTTAATAAACAATTGAATTATTTGTAGTTTAATATATCAACCAACCATTAAAAATATGGCTCTTAATTAAGTTATATAAAAACAATAATTGAGTAAGCAATAATTTCTGGATAATCGTAAGAATATTCAAGTTTATGCATTATGTCAATTACTGTTATTTTACTATATTAGAGCTATATAAACTTGTGTATTGTATCAACTATTAAAAAAAAAAATTACCGTATACCAAGTAGCCACTAATATAACTTGTATACACAACATTCATGTGCAAATTATTTTAATTTGAAATTTAAACAATTTTAATGAATTTTTTAGATTTCTTTGGATTTTTTTAAAATCTTTTTTAATATATAATCCATAGATACAATTATAATATAATGAATTTTGTTTTTAATTGTCTTTAAATACCGATAAAAAGTTTTTTACATGTTCACGTTTTGATAAAACAGGTTTTACTTTTTTTCATAAGATAAGTTTGTTAGAGTTTACATCTTTCGATAACTTCATAGGATTGTGCTTGATTTAAAATTAAGGCAATAGAAAAGTTTTTAAACAATGTTATCTGTTAAAACATTTTTAGTGAAGATACGATGAAAATAAGAGTACAGTCAGTTGGAAGAAAACCGCTAAATCTTTATCGATTTTTAAAACCTGCTAAAAATTTATAGCTAACTAAAGATAAGTTCAAAGTTGAGCTGTGTGTTATGCCAATGGCTGAACCATAAAGATGTTAACACAAGGAAAATCGTTAACTCAACTATCTCATGGGTATTGCTAGCACCAAATATAAGTTTTGGTTTAATATTAAGTACATCAAGGTAATTTATGGCTTTTGGAATATCTATTCTTTGGAGCAACCGGTGATCCTACTCAGCAACTTTGCTTAATATCAGAAAATATTAATGTTGTCATAAAACAGAAAATTAACATGCGTGTATAAGGAAAAAGAACATATGTGTCTTAAAAATATATTTTTTCATATTTCCTAATTTTAATAAATAGTATATTTATAGTTAAAAAATTATTCCAATAAATTCAATTGGATAAACTTACATAGAATTGTATGGAATCATTGATTTAGTTGCTCTTGATAGATAATTCCTTTTTTTTTTTTTGGTATCGCCATATCTAAAAAAAAGTAATTGAATAGTTCATTTAGAATATATGCGATTATTATTCATTAAACAAATTAAGAATTAATAAAAGTCAATAATTCTGTGTTTTATTTTTTAGAAATAAATGAAAAGTTTTTCCAAGGCAATTTATTTAGGCTGATATAGTTGGTAATTTTTGATTATATTGTCGCCGAACTTGATACATAGCCAAGTTGGGCTAGAATAATATTTTTTTATTTAGTTGATACTCTGTTCGACAGTAGGGATGGAAAGCTTTTGCCGTGTACGTGCACTGAATTACCAAAACCGTATTTTGTACCATGCGGTGAACCGTTGTAGTTGTTTACAGCATCAATTATAAATTACTGGACCAAAACAAATGTGACCTGACAATCTGTTCAATCGAACAGATGGTCTGAATATTTTCGAATACAATAAAACGTGAATGTTCCTTTTCTTCATATTATCAAAACAGTTTTATCTGTTTGACTCCATAAAAAAATAACTCATAACAGAGTCATTGGTGATCAGGAAAAAATATTACTAAAACATGATTGGCAAATATCGTTTATTAGGAATTACTTATTTTTAAAGGGAGTATTCTAATAATTACTAACAATTGTTCTCAGCACCTTACTATTAAGCAACAAAAGTCGTACTTATTTTTAATAATAGTTTTCATAGTTTAATATCTAGGTAGTGTGTATTTTTATAAGCTATTTCTATATTGAGCTGCGAGAAGACATGTATCGCCCAGTGGTATAATTTTTTTTATGAATTGTGTCGTGGCTGTCAACAAAAGTGGTACCGATTTTAAAAATGACGTTTACGTTTCCTAATAATTTATCACACAGAGAATAAAGTGTATAAAAGGTCCCATCGGATCCTTTATTCTACACCGGACAATCCATTTTTTTACACACCACTTCCACAGGGACTAGATAAAGGGACGAATGATAATTTTCAATCCATAGGCTACTGCATTAAATTGTTCTACTGGCTGGATACGGTTAACGCACTCGTACACACACACACACACATATATATATATATATAAACTCATGTATAGTATATTATACAGACGCATGCACTTGCCTATGCGACGGCATGCTAAGGGATGGTAAAACGGAAGAGGGATAATGGGTAAAGCAAGTGTTATATTGTCGAACGGCTATCTGCAGCTGACACGCAGACCTCCTCGCGTCTCTGTCTCTGCTTCAACCCATACGTTATTATACTCTCCTCGGCGCTACCGTACGCCAACGAGTCAGCGGCACGTCCTCCCCTACATTTTTTCTCCAAAGTCGCGATCTGTGTAAGGCTGTGGCGACGCGGCACAGTCGTAAATTTAAAAAATTCCCAGCACTGTACAATTGGTTCGCAGATCGTTATTGTATAGGCCGCGTTTGCCTTTTATTTTTGTCTCTTATATTCCTTTGCTTTATTTTTTTCTACCGCCTCGTTTTTTTTTTTTTTTAATGTTACACTTATCATACTTTGTGGTATTCTAACGACGGGTTTCTGTTGTTTTTTTTAATATTTAAACACGCATTACCACAACCCTTTTATCGCGACTGCTTTTTGAAGTAATGTATTCTCGTACATACGATTTATCGTTGAAATAAACAAATCACGTTATTTTCTTTTTAAATCTCCTCGGTAAAATATCATTTCGAAATTTTAACCTCAGTAACACGCGTTCCCTACAATTAGGAGATCTTTATTTATCGTTCTAATATATGCAGCAAGTAATGTATATATATATATAAACAGGATGATTTATTAAGCAAAATGTCCCTCATTTTTTCGTTGAGTTAGTCTGCTCGTTCTTTACACGGTAAATAAAATTCTATGTATAGTGCAAACGCTAAAAGAAAATTTCCGAAAAAATATTGAGAAAAATTCACATATATTATGGTCATAGGGTGTAACAAATATTACTCATGACTAAGACTTTGAGTTCAAAAATGGATTGACTGTTATCTAAAATATTTCGGGTGTAAGTACGGCAACACTAACCATAGTCTTTTTCGGCCTATAAAATATGAATACAACTACGTGACAGGATTGCGTGATGAGTAAGTAGTTTTTGTTACTTCAGCAGTACCATTGCAGTTCATCGTTCAGACATGTTTACGATGCTTTACATTGATAAAACATTTTTTACAAAAACAGAATGATGATCTACATGGTTACAGTTTTTAACATTATAATAAGTAACATGTTAGGCAAAATGTTATGGACATTTATCGTATCACTTTCAGCTTTGTTTTTAAGTAAAGTTGAAATCGTTATAAGCTATATTTTTAGTAAATACAAAGAATACTTTTTGGCAAAGTTTCTACTAAACGCCCCAAGAAAATACTATTGATTTATATTTGGCTTTAATAAATGGGAACTTTGATGAACATTTTCTTCTCCATTAAAAATTACATTAGTCTTTTATATTTTTAGTCGCTTTTCTCGCGTAGTTCACTTTTCGAATCGCTGCACATGGAACCATTATACTTATCTCGTCATTATTTTGCACTTTTAAAATGTTTTAAAATGGAAATGATATGGACAGGAGGAGGCATTCTTATAATATAAAAAATTACATTAGGGTATGATAGTCATGATTCGTTAGCTACAACACTCATAACAGCCCTGATATATTTAACCAAAATTAAAAACGGCATCAGATCAGTATTTTTACTAAATGATAAAACGTTATAAAAAGTAAAAACTACATAATAATGTTATTAAAAAGTTCGAAATGACAAAGTATATTCTTATTTGAATATGATCTTATTATCAATTTTCTTTCTTCTTATAAATATATACGTACAGAGAAATTTACTTAAAATGGACACTCTACGAGGCAAAAAACATCTCTTAAACAGAAACCTCCTTTACGGATATATTACTAAACATCGACACATCTGTTGGGAACTAACAGACGGTCACGGGGATGTGTTGGAAATTATGAAGAAAAAGAGCTCAGTGCGCGTTTAGGACTTGTGGCCCAAGGTGTCGAAACGCAATTTCTTGTCACTGTCAACTCGATAACAAGTTATCGATGCATACCTTTTTAAGCATATTTGGGCTAAATTGTGCGGGTGAGAAAGTAAGCGACCGCGTCACCATAAATGTGCTAATAAGAAAAACATAGGACTTATGATCTGATTGGAGCTGTCAAGGTTCCATTAGTTACCTTGGAAACCATACAAGTAATAATCATTAAAATTAAAAAACTACAACGTTTTTGGAACATTTCTAGTTAATTTATTAGTATCACCATTAAAAAAATGACATTTTACGGTTTTACCAACTAGACATTACTCACAAATTTAATTTTCAATATAATTTTGTATAAGTATATATATATTAAATATTTTATATATAGTCATTCAACTGAATCGGGTCATAAATTTTGAAATAGTTAAACATTTTTAACACGATTACGGCGAATGGTTTAAAGGGATCAAAGATCGAGCAGACATGTGCTTGATTTTAAATTGCCTAATTATATATTTGAAAAATTAAATCGTGAAAAGGAATTACATAAACTTGAAAAATATGTTAAGTACAAATAAAAATGTTTGCGTGATAACGAACAGGGATTGATTTTTGTAAATTAATAAACATTCGGTATTTTTTTTTTTTTTGATTAAATAATTAATTTTCATAATTTAATGTATGTTTAGACTTTGCAAACTTTCTGATTTAAGTAAATAATAATTGCAGTAGATAAAGTTTTTAAACAACTAGTTATTCAAAGTGGTTGGTCGAAAACAAATTAAAAAAGTAAAATATCAATATTAATAAGGTTAGTTTGAAATTGAAATCGGAATTTCATACCGATACACTGGTCGTAAAAAGACGGCAACGTTTACCAAAACTACATGAAACGTTTGCTAGCCAACTGCGTGCATTTCGTTGGCATCTCAGTTGCGCAGATGTTTTTGCAAATTGTTGGTTTAAAAAAATAATTCGTTCGTTTCATTGTGAGTAAGGAGGCGTCTGTAGAGAAACACTGATCCCTAGTTTCTCAAGTGGTTTAGCGGCGGTTTATATAAATGCCAGCGCATCAAAAGTTGAAAGCAAACAAACTGATTAATGTGACGTCATTAAGGATTCGTCAGTAAAGTGAGGAGGAGGATAATTCGACGGGAAAAATTCCGGGGCAGCAGATGATTTATTTTAGGTTTCCACTGTCGTACATGCATTTTTAGTCCTCTTTCCATTGCGACGTTTCACTGGCAGCGCGTCGGCGACAAACCCCCACATTAGTGAGTGTTTAGCATTCGTCTCATTAGAACCCTCCCTCCCGTAGCCCGCGTCTTTTACAAGCCTCAGCCGCGGGTAGTATCTTGTAAATGATTGCTTCCCACCCTTTTTTGGATAATCTGGCCATTTGTCCGCAACAACCGTCTCCGTACCATCAAACCTTTGAAACGAGATCGCGTGTACAATAATCCACCGAAATCGTTCTCCACCCTCTGCACCCTCCATCTTTATCAACAGCGATGCATGTAGTAAACGTATATTGCGTACACATAAAAAACCGTCCGAATTTTCTAGGTTACCATAACGGTCGATTTAACACGATCCGTTTCCCTTTCTTTGTGTATTAATCCCAATCATCTATAAAGGATTACCGAGCAACGGCATTTTGTGTTTCTTAAGCGTTATTTATTATTCGTTTGCATGCAACGCAACGCCGGGTATAAAAAACGAATTTATCAATGAACGTTTGCGTTTGTCTGCCGGGACAATTAAAATCACATTTATGACACAATTACACTCGGCGGTGTTTTTTCATTTTTACAATTTGTTTCTCTCGTTTTATCAATGAAACGTATTGCGCGTGTCTGAACACGAGAAAAAAACGGATCGAAGGGTTCAATAAAATTAAGGGAAGTTATCGAAAGGAAAAAGTAGACACAAGTTTTTCATTAAAAGTTTATTAGGGTGGAGGGTTGAGAAAAATCGTAATGCACGTGACTGCCGCGTTGTTATGGGCCTGTGGTA